TTGTTTATATTTTATTTTAAACCTGTCAAAAGATTTAAGTTCATTAGTACCCTTGACAAATTTGGCTTCAACTTTTATAATGAACTTTTAATGTAAAAATTTATTTAGCTACAATGAATTCTAAAGATTTAATTGTAAAAGTAAATAAAACATCCCTTAAAGAAATAAAACATTTTTAAAGAAAAAAGTCATCATTTATGGATTGTGACAAAATGATATTTCTTTATTATAAAGTCGAAAAAAGACTAAAAGATAAATATTTGATGATGAATGACTTATTGAAGCTTTGAAATAGTTTATAAGAAAAATGACCATAAAAAATTGCAATTCCTACAAAAAAAACTAACTATAGATGGATCTATTTATTACTCAAGTATATGATATGCAAATATTTCTAATTACTTCATGTAGAAAAAATGATTATTGATAAAAATATATTAGAGAAAATATATTCTTCTTTTTATGCCTTCAGTATACGCTAGTAGTAGCAAAATCGAGAGGGCAACTTTAATGGATATATTCAAAGTACATAGAAGCCTTCTTATTACCAATAAAATTATGAATTTTTTATGAAAAAATCATTACAACAATTGATTTGATTCTATTCCTTGGGGATAATGCAACACCATATTATAATCATTTTTATAAATATGGTTGTAGAAATAAAACTATATATGCAAAAATGAAAAGATTTGCAAAAGATGTTGTTAAAGAATTTGAGAGTTATTATTATATATATGACATGAATGAACATTAGTGACATATTTTTAGTATATTCAATCAGTTATGAACCAATAATATATCTCCATGCATTTGCTTGATATGCTATTACCTTTACTCAATGAGAAGAGGAATCCTAAAAAATCTTTAGGTGGCCTACACATGCGACAGACTTGAGTGTAGGGTGTGTCACTTGCTTTGCTATAAAGTAAGAAGGTTGAATTTTTCCACACTACAAGGAGATGCACCTATACTGACGGAACTTTTCCGTCTGTATAGACCCATTTTCCGTTGGTATAGACCTCAAGGACTATTCCAACGGACTAACTTTCAGTCGGTAGAAACCTCGTCAGTATAGGGTCTATACCAACGCCTAATCCGTTTGTATAGACCCCTGGGTCTATTCCGATGGAAGACTTATCCGTTGGTATAGACCTTGAGAAATCTCTTGAATTTCCGTCTGTATATACTCTTAGATCTATTCCGATGGAAGACTTATCCGTTGGTATAGACCCTGAGAAATCTCTTGAATTTTTGTCTGTATAGACCCTTGGGTCTATTCCGATGGAAGATTTTATCCAATGGTATATACCCTTAGATCTATTCCAATGAAAGACTTATTCGTTGGTATAAACCCCGAGAAATCTTAAAAATTTTTCCGTTTGTATAAACCCTCATATTTACAGACAGATAATTTCAATGATATACCGACAACTTTTTCCATCAATATAAATCCTTTTTTTTTTTTTTACAATTGATATTTCATTTTTTTTTTTTTTTTTTTTTTTTCTTTTAATTTGTCTAGATATTTTAAACATCAAATATTACTTGATATTAAAAGTACAAGAAACACTCTTTAACTTTTAACACGTTTTCAAGTTACAAAGAAGAGCCGCCTAGACAGGGGGTTAAAACAAACAATTTCCGATCACTGCCCCATATTGTT